TAATTAACCTAGTTAAGCCTTTAAATGTCACTTTGATCTGTATACAAGTGTCTTAAAAAATATCTAGTAAAATATTATTTACTGTCATCATGGCAAAGATAAAATAAATCAGTTATTATAAATGAGTTAATAAAACTATTATGTGTAGAAATGTGTTAAAAAAAAAAAAAAAACTTCACTCCTTTAAACAACAAATGGGGAAAAAATAACCGGGGGTGGAGTCTTAATAATTCTCACTTTTTACATTATAATATAATGACTGTATTAAGATTTACAACTAAATATACAGTGCCCAGCAGGAATGAATACACCCCTCAATATTTCATTTAAATGTACACTACCGGTCAAAAGTTTGGGGTCAGTTTTTGATTCATGTTTTTTTTTTTTTTTAAAGAAAATTATTGTTCATCAAGGCAGCATTTATTAAAATAAAATAAAAACAAGTTAAATATTCATAAAATTTTAAATAACTGCTTTCCTATTGTGTGTCATCATTGCTGTAATTACTATTACCATGAATACTAATAATAATAATAATAATAATAATAATAATAATAGAGTGATTTCTAAAGGATCAGGTGACTGAAGACTGCAGTAATGAAGCTCATCTGTAATATCACTCGAATAAATGATTAGTTATTTTACAGTGCAATACCATTTCACGATTTTACAATTTGTACTGTATTTTTAATTAAATAAATGCAGCCTTGGTGAGCAGGAGATGCTTGTTTTAAAACATTTAAAGTCCTACTGACTCCAAAATCTTGACCGGTAGTGTACATATTAAATAGGATGCTAAACAAATAATATATTTGTGTATATTTATTAGTAGACTGCAAAGTTTTGATTGCAAGTCGCTCCCACTTAACTCTTCTTTTCACATTCAGATTCTTAATATCTTCAAAGCTTTAAAGTATTGCTTCAGGGTCAAATTCTAGTCAGGCGGTGACAAAAAAAATCCCCCTTCTTAAAACATCAAACGAACCCTCTTTCTTCTTAAAACAAAAGTTGCAACATCATCATCAAAAAAAAAAAAAAAGAGAGAAAACATTTTTTTCTGTATAACTTTATTCATTAAAAATGAATGAGCAAAGTTGAAATAAATATAGTAAATACATTAGTATTCAGTCACTGGAGAACATAAACCATAGCATGAAGACTGATGTGATTTAGATTAACAGATGATATAAATACAAATACAACCACTGTATAAAAATCTCATGACGTGAGCCAAGCCAGAATTACAATGACGACTGAAAATCACCAGACTTGTTAAAGGTCATCAACTAGAATACTGCGGTATCACTGGGGTCCCAAATGAATCGTGAAACAGGCAGCTCAAGCATTAGTTGCAAAATAAATTATGTTTTCATTGTGACAAATACTGCTGTCAACCAGTCTATTTGAAGAAAACAACCAGAATCACCATCGAAAAAAAGCAAAATAAAAAAATTAAATGTGCATCCATTTTATGGCCAGTCAGCAAACATGAGAAAAATCTGACATGAACACACACACACACACACACACACACACACACACACACACACACACACACACACACACACACACACACACACACACACACACACACGCACACACACACATACAAATCAAGTCACATTACTAATATTCCTTTCATTTCAGAATAAGAAAGGGTTGTCAACAACTACTAAACTACATTTAACAAAACTGCAAGTTTGAGCTCAGACACAAACCCTCATATAAAGTTAAGCTAAATTTGAAAAGCATCAAAATTCCAAAGAGAATGTTAAGTTATGTTTCACACAGAAGTTTTTATGAACAGTGGGCTCCTGTAACCCTGGTGACAGAGCGCTGTCTCTTTAAGAATGCTGGGTAAGTTTGTTTGCCAGGCTATTTTAGCTGAGACCAAGCCCCTTATTGACCTACTTTCAGCTAGGACATTAGACCAGACCCATGCTGAAGAAAAAGTCTAAAACATTTGAATTTAACATTGCAGAACAATAATTTCTGAACACACATACATACTCTATATTATACATCAAATTCATGTATTCAAATACCACATAAAATGTTTGGTCATTCCCTCAAGCAGTCGGTAATGATGAATCCACATTACATAACAACTAAAGACAGACATATTAACTGGGTTCCTCGAGGAACCCTGGTTCACAACATAATAATACCACACTTTACACAACAATACATCACACTGCTGAAACTTTACACCTAGAGCTTATATGATCACTGCTGTGCGTTATTTTCATGCTTTCCTGACGTGGCTCTCAGGGTTGAGCAAAACTCAGAATAAGAGAAGTGTAATGAATGTGAACTAAGTTAAAAGCACTGACAAGAAGCTGAACTGGAATGTTAATGGACACGACGGAAAAAAGGAATGCACTGACTTCATCTTTGTTCCTTGCCTATAATCCTATTTAAAAGAACTGTTCACCCAAAAATGAAATTTGTCATCATTTTCTCACCCTTCACTTATATAAAACCTATATCAGTTTTTTCCATCTGTTGAACACAAAAGTAGATATCTTGAAAAATGATGGCTGCATTGACTTTTTTATGATTATGGAAGTCAATGGGTCCCAGCAACCAGCATTCTTCAAAATATCTTCAGTTCAGCAGAAGATAAAAATTAAAGGTGTAAACCACATGAGGGAGAACAAATGAGAACAGGTCATTTCATGTTTGTGTATTTCTTAAATAAAATATATATATACATAAACATATGATAAAACTTATAAGCATAATGTAACCCATACTCATTCTGAAAACGTACCTTTCGTACATTTCTGGCCAGTGCCAAATGTGTCCCAGGAGATTTATTTATTTTTTTTGCAGTTTTTGTTTTCACGAATCAGGCACTGAGTCCGCCTTTTCAGATCTCAAATTTCTATCGCGAGTACCATTTGCACCTGCTCTTCTCGTGTAAATCCACCAGAGGCCGCTGTCGACTGAATGTTTGACTGACCGATCGACTGACCTACCCTCCCCCAAAAGCAGTGATTGACTCGCCCACCCACTTTCCTAAACTAAACCGACAGTTTTAAAAAGCAATCCAGAAAAAGAAAAGCCCTCGCCTGATTTTTACCACATTTACAGATTTACCACATTCTCACCTTGTTATTTACTGGTTAATTTTATTTTTTTGCATTCTGTTTTTGTCTCACTCGTTTTCTGGAACCATTCTTTTCTGGAACCCTGTTGTTGTGGTCAACTTCTCTTTGAATCTCAAGTCCGCCAACTTACATGGTGAGCTAACTGGACAAACTGATAACAGAGGGAAAGCCGTCCATACGGAGGCTAGCGGTCAGCTGGTATGTGCAAAAAGGAACGGCATCATATCGGCATACTGTCACAATGACCAGCGACCTTATTCTGGCAGATTGCTGGTAAACACACAAATTGCTAACGGAATACAATTCTGCCATTGGACTACAAGTTCCAGTCATGCACCAGTCACACGCACACACCTCCTGGCTGAGTCTTGTTATACTGTTTTTAAATATTATGACGCATTTTCCTTGACTTGCCAGTTTTGAACCTCACTTTGATTTCTTTGTTTTACTGTTTATTCCTGTCTGCTGCCTGTTTTATAACCACAACTCTAGATTGCCCACATACATCGGTTTGACCCTGTGTTGACGATTGCTTGCCTGACCATTCTGTTGAATAAATTCTGCATTTGGATCTGCACTCCGTTGTTAGCACCCACTTCACATTAAACAAATTTACTTCTGCCGACATAATTTACAATCTCCAGAAATGTATGTTATGTTTTCAGAATGAGCCTGTGTTGGCATCATGTGTATGAGTAAATAATATCATGCACAGTGGTAAAAGTGCTTTAATGCTTTTACTGCCTTTAGCATTTATTTCATCTGAAAAACTGCAGAAATTTTTGTAAACAGGCACTTTTTCGGAGTTGGTAAAGCCACATTTTTCCATAGAGCATCGGCAGCAACCAGAAATATAGTATCACCTTAAATGTGTATAACATCACTTTTGATCAATTTAGACCAGAACTTTTAAGTTCTTTCTTTAACTTTTGAATAAAAGTGTATATAATCGAAATTGAAAGGGTTTGACATTAGCTAGTTTTCCATCCAAAGATGCAAATTAAATTTAAGTGCAAAACTGGAATATTGTATAAAAGACTTGCGCATAAAGCAGCGTTTGCATCCAACGAGTCAAAGACAAGAAATAAGTCACTTCTTGATTTAATGGCACCAAATATCGAAAATAAAAACGTAATTTACAGAGGTAGGAGATGCTGAGTGAATTTTTTCTTTATTTATTGAATTACTTGCACCTCAGAATACGATGCAAAATGAACTTGTGGTGTGATTTGAAGGCATGAAACGCTGAACATAGGCGGTCTTGATTCTGGTGGTCATTAATAACATAATAACACTAATCCTGAAATAGTTAAGGCGTTTTTGAATGAACAAAACAACATTTCAGATGTTTTACAGTGTGCTCAGCTTGCTGGTTTGTCTATTCACACACATTTTTATCATCGCATGAACTCTTTTAACAAAATCACTTTTTCAATGTGCATACTAGGGCTGTGTGATTTGGGGAAAATATCTAATCGCGATTGTTTTTTGACAGATTTTTCGATTACATTTTTTAGTTAAGCTTTAGCTCAATCATACTCCTCATGTAGCCGCCTGTGGTGCTTTTTAAGGTGCTGGTTGTTGTTTTTCTCATGCTAGCAACAATTCTTTGACAACTTTTACAAATGACCTGTTTTTGTTTGTTGTCTGTGACTTTGAAACCAAAATTTACAATAAGGTTTATTAGTTAATGCATTTACTAACATGAACTAATCATGAACAACACATGTACAGCATTTATTAATCATAATTGAACATTTACTAATGCATTATTAACATCCAAGTCCATGCTTGTTAACATTAGTTAATGCACCATGAGTTAACATGAACTAACATTGAACTACTGTATTTTAATTAACTAACGTTAACTAACATGAAGTAATACAGTAGTAAATGTATTGTTCATTGTTTGTTCATGTTAGTAAATGCATTAATTAACATTAACTAATGAACCTTATTGTAAAGTGTGACCGATATTAACTTGTTAATTAATTCTTTTAAAGCAGCAAACGTCATCATCCCACTTGTTCGTGCTTTCCTGTTTGTTTTTTATTGCGGGAGTTTGGCATAGTTCTGTTGCACTATTCTGATTGGGCAGAACGAAAGTGTGCTCACTCAATTGGTTAGTAGAACTATCACTCACAGACGGCTGTCATGCATTTGCTCTAGGTGGGGGAAATGAAATAATATATATATTTATTTCGCAGCCTCTTGCAGTTAGCTAATTGCAACACTTCAAATTGCGATTCGATTTTGATTACTTGCACAGCCCTAGCGCATACTGAAATTCATTTGGTAAAAGTGTTTCCATCAAAGTTTATGCAAATCTTTTCTTATAGAATAAAAAGTTTATCCTCCTCAGTTATGTGCATGCATTTTTTATGCTAATTTAAAATGTTTAATTTATGCGCATCATGGCGTTTCTATCAACCAATTTTCAATAATACATTTTATAATAATATAATGAATTAAATAGGTGGATGGAAACATAGCTACTGACAGGTGAAAATCTGATGTACCTGCTTGCACTGCAAACATGAGGGCACAATTCACATTCTAGCTTATATGTATGTGGGCCATATCCGAACTGAAAAAAAAAAGACTGGAATTGGGTCACTTGAACCATGCAGTGTAAAAATGCAGCCTAAGTGATTCTGAATTAAAAGACATTCTCAAATATAATTCTGATGCACAACCCTGTTTAAAAAATGTATCTTATCCCCATCTTTAACCTACTCCAATCCAAAACCCTCCGCATTTGAAATGGCAATAGTTAACTTTTGCCTCAGTTCTTTCTTGCTCTTGTATGGAGGTAGACAGATCTGGTTGAAGCACGTATGTGACACCGGCAGCCTGCAATGAGAATGAATAAATAAACTTTAGAGAATAAACATGTATGATTCACCATAATTTACCATTGCGATGATTACCAGTCAGTGGAGACATCAATCTTTGAGATCTTGAAGTTGAGGTCAGCCATCCCCCCCACAGGAACGCGGTCACTTCCTGTGGTAAAGTGGAGCAGTTTCTTTTGCAGCTCCAAAGGAAAAGCCAGAACCACGTCCCAGAAAGCTCTGCAATGCCAGAACAAACGGTCACCTTTGCAGCGATAGGTCAGCATATGGAGGTATGATAGTGACTAACTGTAAACAGGACATGTACCGGATGGTGGGGTCAGTCTTGCTGTAGCCTTCATACTGCACTACTCGCTGCAGAGAGCCCATGTCCAGATTAGGACTTCCACAAACCAGGATCTCAACCTCCTCTGGCCTTAAGAGCTAAGTACAAAATTAACAGATTTATTGACATTTATAGTTCTACCATTTTTGCAGTTAGATGCATTCAAAAAACAACATTTCAATAATCTGTAAGTAATGATAATAATAATAATAATAATAATAATAATAATAATAATAATAATAATAATAATAATAATAATAATAATAAAATAGCATGCGCACTACTGTTCAAAAGTTTGCTGTTGTTAAGATTTCATTCATTCAGTCATTTCATTCAGGCTAAGTCCCTTAATTGTCAGGGGTCACCACCGCGGAATGAACCGCCAACTATTCTGACATGTGTTTTATGCAGTGGATGCCCTTACAGCCGCAACCCAGTACTGGGAAACACCAATGCACTTTCACATTCACACACAGACTCATACAGCCAATTTAGTTTATTCAAGTCACCTATAGCACTGTGGGGAAAATCGGAGTGCTCGGAGGAAGCTCTTGCGAACACGGGGATAACATGCAAACTCAACACAGAAATAAAAACTGGCCCAGTTGGGGCTTGAACCAGCGACGTTCTTGCTGTGAGGCCACAGTGCTTGTTAAGATTGAATTATTATCATTTATTTTAAGGGGTAAAGAATTCTGTGTGAAAATGGGGAAATCAAATCTGAATATAAATAAGTATATAAGTTTATACAACAGTTCTGTCTGGTTCTCGAATCTGATTCGCTGATAGCCGTGCAATATTCTGCAATATCAGAACTTGTATAGCCTCCTCATCTTTCTGTAACTCCAACCACATAAAGAGACAGCAGATCAATAAACTCACTACAGTTTGACAAATATTGCTGCTGTTGTACAATATAATGTACTTTTGAGGCTTTTTTAGGCGAGAATGTAGTTGTTTTGATTGCAACTATTCAGTTTATTTATAAAAAAAAGTGCCTATTTTAAATATATATAATTTTTGAGATACAAAGCAGGGCAGAGCAAAGATGACTGATGTTGTCCATCCACAAGATGGTTACAGAAACCACATAATAAGCCCTTAGAGGAGAAAAGATCTAAGTACTTTCAAACTACAGCTGATCGAAAACATTATAAAATTGGTATATATATATATATATATATATATATATATATATATATATATATATATATATATACAGTTGAAGTCAGAATTATTAGCCCCTCTGAATTATTCAACCCAAGCTCATTCTGGAAACGTAGCCCCGCGGACGTTTCTGGAGGCCGCGATTTACGTGGCCGGAGGTACGTAAAGGCCGCGTTTGTTTTTTTTCGAGCGAACGCTGCGGGGCGGTGTAGAGCCGCTCCGCCCCTCCTCTTCGCGCTCGCCGGCCAACGGCTCGCCTCCAAGTGTAGGGCTTTCCCGATGCAATCAGTTTGTCCACTTAGCTCACAGCGTTGCGTCAGCGGAGCGGAGGCCCCGGAGGAGGAGCCGGAGCCGGCCGCGGTGGACGACGACCGGGATCGAGTCCGGGGAACAGCAGGTTCTGGAAATCAGGTAAGACAAAAAACGGAATCCAAAAAATAAGGGCGAGAACGCGGCGGGATCCGAAAACGCGGTCAAAATCGAAGAAGGCTTTTGCTTTTTTTTTTTTCCGATCCGGCGGCTTTTCGCGCGAGAACAGAGAGGCGCCCGAGATGCAAAAAAGCGCCCACAGCGGCCTCTCGCGGATCCGCGAAAACAAAAAAACGCTCGAATACGTACCTCCCGGGACATAAATTGCGGTCCGCAGAAACATCCGCGGGGCTGCGTTTCCACAATGAGCCCCGGTTGGAATTATTAGCTACCCCTGTTTATTTTTCCCCTGTTTTCTGTTTAACAAAGAACACATTTTTTCAACATATTTCTAAACATGATTCATGATGATAGTAAATAATATTCTACTTGATATTTTCAAGACACAGCTTAAAGTGACATTTAAAGGCTTAACTAGGTTAATTAGGTTAACTAGCCAGGTTAGGGTAATTAGGCAAGTTAATGTATAATGATGGTTTTTCTGTAGACTACTAGTGTTGGGGTACTCGAACTTGGACTCGGACTCGAGTCCGGACTCGAGTCCAGTTTTGATTGGACTTGGACTTGTCACGGACTTGGGGAAACTTTTACTCGGACTTGACTCGGACTTGGACATTTTGGACTCAGAAAATATCACGAGTCCAGTCGAGTCCACATCATTCACAACACAAATAAAGATATTAAAAATTAATAAATATTAGCATGAAACTATAACAAGAATTTAGCGATCTCTCTGGCTGCATGCTAGCTTTTATTTATGCCACCGCACCGTACCAGTAGGCAGCAGCAGCACATCATCAGCTTAAATGTGTAACCACAAAAAGCCATATCACACAATGCGTGGCTAGGTTTTGGACAATAATGTCTTTAAAATATGCGTTCAGCGCTTGATTTAGGCCAGGGCTTCTCAAATCCGGACTCCGTAATATTCAAAGTTTTCCTGTGTGACTCTTGTAAAGACATCCCGCTATCATCCCGATTCATTTTCCAATACTTCCACCTTATGCCTAATCTTTCTATGAAGAGTGAAAGCACCGTCAACACAGCCGATCTCAAATGCGATAGAACTGCAGGAGCTGTTCAAGAGAATTGTGCTTTCGCTTTATTTTGGCTTGAAAGCACGTTAAAATGAATATAAAAATGTTTGCATTCACTTCCATTAAAGAAGTGCGTCGATCATCACATTTCTGAGTCAGTGTAGCCTTTACATGCTGACTGATGGACGCGTTCTCATCCCAGATCCCAGATCAGCTTCTGTTTTGAGGGTAGGGTTAGGAGAGTATAAAGATTGTGTAAAATTACAGTAATTAAATGATGGTTTAGCAAAAATGTTGTAATAATGTTGCTTGGAGTTGCATATTATATTAAGTCAATATAAGCACAAATTAATTTAATGTAGAGTTATATTCAAATCCAGACAACATTCAGAATGGATAATCACTGGACTAGGTCCACAAATTCAAGCAATAATTTAATCTTTTTAAAGATAGAATGAGGTTTGACTTTGACTTTGTGTAAAAATTTATATTTAGGTAATATTTTGATGAGAGACATTGGAGAGATTAGGTACACAATGTGAGTCTTCTGTGTGAGAATAAACATTACTGATTGTGAGCAGCAGTATATATCTTCCCTACATGTTGAATATGCAAGAAAGAATCTGATAATGACACATTTCTGATTCTATTTATATGTAGTCAATGCAGTGTGTATTGCACAATTAATCATCCCAAATGTTTCATTTTAAAATGATTCAGAATTATGCATAGTTGTATGCTGATGTCATCATCACTGTCTTTTGAACTGAGGACCAGGACCATGACCTATCCTCAAAAGCCACCCACCCTCCAATTATATATATATATATATATATATATATATATATATATATATATATATATATATATATATATATATATATATATATTGTTTTTTAATATATAAAATTATTATTATTATTATTATTATTATTATACATTTAATATTCTAAATAAATAACAGAAATTTGTCGTAAATGTAACTAGAACACAAAGACACAACAGGAGTGATGTATTAAGATCATTTGAGAAGTCTTTTGCAAGAATATTATTTTAATTAGTCAATTCCATAAGATACAAAAAGATATGTTTTATAGAATTATCTGTGGACTGCACGGTAGCGCAGTGGGTAGCACTTTCGCATTACAGCAAGAAGGTCGCTAGTTCGAGCTACGGCTGGGTCAGTTGATGTTTCTGTGTGGAGTTCGCATGTTCTCTCCGTGTTGGCGTGGGTTTTCTCCGGGAGCTCCGGTTTCCTCCACAGTCCAAAAACTATAGGTGAATTGATGAATTAAATTGGCCATAGCATATGAAGGGAAGGGCATCCGCTGTGTAAAACATGCTGAATAAGTTGGCGGTTCATTCCGCTGTGGCGACCCCTGATTAATAAAGGAACTAAGTCAAAAAGAAAATAAATGAATGAATGAATGAGTGAATGAATGAATGAATGAATGAGAATTATCTGTTGTCTTTTTAGACCTGAATAGTGAACTGTTGAAGGCCTAATCTTACCTGCCTGACTCTTTATCCTTCTTTTCTGCTTCACAGCATGTTTAGTTAAAATAAGATCATCATCATATTGTTTTAATTTTTTTTTTTGTCCAGTTGCAAAACTTACACAGGTTTTACAATGCATAATCGCAGCGTATTTTTTCAAGGTGTCCCAGAGTTGCTATTTTGAATGTACACTTGCTTTATTAAAATGAAAGAATGTCCAAGACAAAGCTAAGTGTCTTATGAGTATATCTACACTAGCAGTGGAATTTACTGGAATTCACCTGAAATCTTGCCTAGGGCTCCAAATTGGTTAGGGCCGGGCCTAATCATGATCATGGTGGATAATCATGCGCGCACGCCTGCTTTAACACACTGCAGCAAAGCAATAATTTTAATGGAAGAAGATGTCGGCCTCACTGGAAAGAATTGATGAAGAGAATAGACAGTTGAAAGTTGAATGAACAGATAAGTTTGTGTTTATTTTGCCCTTAGCCAGCTCGAATCAGTAACCTTCTTGCTGTTAGGCCATTGTGCTACCCACTGCGCCACCGTGCTGCATCTTATGGATGTTTATTAAAAACAAGTTATGTAATATCAATTGTTTTATACCTTTGACCTTAATAAAAAAATTCAGATTTGGACCTTTTAATGTTGACATTGAGAACCCCTGTTTCAGGCTATCATTAACAGGTAGACCCAGATCATGAGCCTAGAAATCTGCACTGGACTATTTTTTCAGTCTGATGCCCGCTGGGTTTTATTTTGCACCCAATCGCCCCTGCTATTTATTTACTTTTTCTTTATTTAAAACAAAATTCTTCTGACTGTTAATGCCCTGTTAAGACAGCGGTGAAGCCGAATGGTCTCTCTTTGCTGAATCTTTTATGTTCTTTGCTGATCTGGGTCAGTCGGCATGAATATGGTTTCATTTTATGGTTTCATTTCATGGTTTCATTAGCCTCCTTGAC